TCCTCTAAAGAGGACATCTCATATAACTGTAGTAAAATATCAAAACCAGGAAATTGACGTTGGTACAATACTGTTGACTAGACTAGAGAATATCTGATTTTTAAAAAGCACTATTTTGAAGTCATAAAATAATATTTTAAATACAAATAATATGTCTTGATATTGGGTGAGGAGGATGGCCAGGCGAGTAAGGACTCTGAAAGCGGTAGCGGGGTGTGATGGGTGTGATGCCAGCTGTGAAACACCAGCAGCCAGTTTGAATAGCGGCTCCCTCGCTCAGGGCTGTGCCCTATGCAAAGGAAAGATGGCGCTGCAGGAAGCGGACTGACGTCGACTGGGCGGAGGGAAATGGATACTTGCTGGAAGGCCCAGTGGGACTTCAGTTGCACGGTGTGTCTCTTCACCCAGAGCCAGGCTGTGGCCACAAAGAAACCGTCCTCACACCCCCACGATGAGACATGAAAGTCCAGTTGATTGAAGAAAAGTATACACTCATATGACATTTGTAGACAAATAATGATGTTTTAATAGACTTTACTTTTTAGAGCAGTTGTAGGTTCGCAGCAAAGTTGAGAGAAAGTGTGGAGGTCTCACATACCCCTGCCCCCACACATGCACAGCCTCCCCCACTATCAGCATCTCCCACCAGAGTGGTGCACTTTTACTAAAGATGAACTTACACTAATACATCACTATCACCCAGAGTCCATGGTTGACATGAGGCGTCATCCTTGATGTTGTACATTCTATGGATTCTGACAAATGTCTAATGCTATGTACGGATCATTAGTGTCACACAGAGTAATTTCACTGCCCTAAAAACCCTCTGTGCTCCACCTATTCATCTGTTTTATACCTCCAACCCCTGGCAACCACTGATCTTTTTACTGTCCCCATAGTTGTGCCTTTTCCAGAATGTCATAGAGCTGGAATCATGCAGTATGGAACCTTTGCAGATTGGCTTTTTTCACTTAGTCATATGCATTTAAGGTTCCTCCATGGTTTTTCATGGTTTGATGGCTCATTTCTTTTTAGCACTGAATAATATTCCATTGTCTGGATGGACCACATTTTATTTATCCATTTACCTACTGAGGGACATCTTGGCTGCTTCCAGAACGTTTGGTGGTTATGAATGAAGCTGCTGTAAACCTCATTGTGCAGGTTTTGAATTGGGTTTTCAATCCACCCATGTGGCATCGTGTGGGTCTGTGTCTGTGTTCCTATTCATATGTATGAGTGACAAACATTTTTTTTTTAATTGCCATCTCCCCTCTTTGGATGGGTGGTGAGGTGAGGGCTTATTTGGGTCTTTTATTTGATATCTCCCTTCATTCGCTCAGACATGGGATTGTTCACTGGAGCAAATGATGATACTTTGTGTCTAATTAGCAGCTCTGGTTGTTCACAGCGTGCCACAGCGTGTTCCCTCTCACTGTATCCCTGGGGAGGTGGTGGGTACTAGCGGGGTTTAACTGTTTACATCTGGCCAGCTGGCACCGAATCATGGAAATGGGGTTGCTTTCTGCTGTTTTTAAAGCAGCATTAGGGAGCAGGGGTTAGGGTTATGACACTGGCCAGCAGAGGGAATTGGGCAGTGATGTCATGGAGATATACCACTTCTACCATCCTTTCTCTGCATCTAGACCTCGCTGAAGAATTCTCCTCTATAAGCACCTCCACCAGGCACTACCGCACAAGAAGCTCGCTCAGCTGTTTCCTGCCAAACAGCTCAACTGTTGTGGGTGAGACGGGCTGAATCACAGTCCTTTATCAGGACTCCACTCAGCACCCTGGGGTTAGGCTGTGCCCACCACAAGCCCCGTGGGGGAACTTGTCTGTGTCAAGTAGGGGAAAACAGATCCCATCTGGCTGTGTTCCTTGGCCTTTGACCTAGTTCCTTACCCCTGTAATCTCTGAACTTCCCTTTACTCACTTAAAACATGACTGGATTGTCTGGAAGGTTATTTTCTAGCCTTAATATAATAGTACCTAGGACCATGGATCATAGAACCTCCCCGTAGTATTTGGAGCTGCCCTGTCTGTAAAAATATCTTTGTGTTAGAGAAATCTTTACACTTTCTGCGGCCTTTTCTGAAGGAGCGTGTTGCTGATCACCAGGTTGGGGACCAGAAAGTCAGCAAAAGCCCCAGACAGTTGGGTGAAGATGGGGCCATTAGCAGAACTAGGGGAAGAGTTAGGCGATGTCTAAGCCACAAACTCTGAACCAGTACATTCTTGGAATTCAGTTGTACTTGGGTTGTTTATAAAGTTTTGCAGTGAAGCAATTTTATCTCCCACAGGGCGCTACCCTAATTTACTTGAGGGCTACAAGTGTTGCACCAACTCTAGTTGCCCCCTTCATTCTAAAGTGTGAATTCATCCTGGTCCCCCAGCATTTCCACTTTGCGTTAAGGTATCAGAAGCAGGAGGGAGGTGGAGTGAACTTCCGTTTGCCTGGCCCCAATCAGGCTCAGGAGGTGATGAGAAAGGACTGTCTACTCTGCAGTGATGGCCGCCTAAAACATTTTTTTTTAAAGATTTTTATTGGGGAATTGGGGGGATGGGAACAGCGCTGGGGAATTGGGGGAAGGGGAACAGACAAGTTGCTGTCCTTTTGTTCTTCAGTCTAGCTGTGGAGGACGTTGCTTCACTGGCCCAAGTTGGCACCATCATTGCGCTCTTCCCAGGCGAGGTAGATCAGTCGCTGACTTCTGGACAGCCGCTCACAGCGGCTGCTGGCTGCTCACGCTGGCTGCTGGCTGCTCACGCTGGCTGCTGGCTACACACGGTAGCCCATGGCAACCCACTGCCACAGGGGCTGCAGCCTACACCGTGGCAGGCGACTCAGGGCAGCCCAGCTCCAGGTTGAGCTGTTGTTCAGCATCTTAGCTGTGGAGGGCAGTGTCACTGGCCCTCATATGTGGGATCCGAACCGGGGCCCTCTGGCGTCCCAAGCCAGCTCTTAACCATCGCGCCACTCGGAAGGCCCCTAAAACATTATTGACGCACAGGCAGTGGGAAGTGCAGGGTTTGCGTGGGAGTCCGAATGTTGAAGCTGAGATCTCGGAGGAATTTGTACTGAGTCCTGCCCTCAGAGCTGGACCCTGGACAGACAGGTTATTAGGTCAGGAGGCTAAAGATGTGCCAACGCAGTTGTGGTCCCCTCACCCTCTGAGCTGAAACCCACCACAGTTGTTTGCAAGCCTGTCACCTCGTTCCCCTTGCCCTGCTTGTATGTGAAAAAAAAAAATCCAATGGAAAAGTAGCAGGCATGCAGGTACACTGGTTCTTCCCAGAGGGGCAAATGTGCAGGCATCTGGCCCCCTACCTGATCCCAGCAAACCCGGGCAGCAACTTCCCCTCGTGGCACAGATGCTTGTTTGCGAGTGCTTTTCTTCTTGGATCAGCGCTCACTTATTTCAAGAGTGGAGTGGGACTCTCCCTGGGTCATTATAGGGTGTCATCTCTGGCATTTGCTCCCATTGCAGAAAAACAAGTCCAATGCAATGCACTCGGGTTTCTGAACAGCTGCTGAGCGCCCAAACCTAATAGTCAGCAAAGTTGTTGCAGGGAGAGCAGGGACTCCGGGGAGGACTGGGGGGGCGGGGGTGGGGGCGGGAGTCGAGGGCACCCGCCTGGTGGGCGAAGCTCCGCGTTCCCAATCCCGGGGCCAGCTGGTTTGCTGGAAAGGGGGGAGGCGAAGGCGGGCAGGGCGGGAGCAGCCGTGCCCGCCGCAGCTGTGCCGGCCGCAGGGGAGCAGGCGCCTGCCCAGCCGAGCCATGCGGGACGTGAGCGACGTGTGGCGGCCTGTGCTCGGAATGTTACGTTGCACTCTGGGATTCAGGGAGCACCGCCTTCTTCCTTGCAATCACAGCACCACCTCAGCGTGAGGTACGCACCTCTGCAAGGCAGGGCAGCGCTTCTGCGCTGATGTATCGTGTGCTAAAGTCACATCCATGTCATGCCACTGTGCCTGTGGCAGTCCCCGCTAAAAGCACCCCAGATCTTCATAGGCAGACACTGGCCCGACTACATGACTGTCACATGTCGTGAGCTGGTGCAAAACTGCGAGGACTGGGGAGGCAGAAAGGACACATACACACCAAAAACGGGCGAGGAAGAGATGCAGCAGGGTAAAGAGATGTGCTGGATAAATGTCAGGAATTTTAGGGGTTTGCATAATCAAGGCGCTGCCTCCCAATAGTTATTCCGGGGCTTTCTCGCCCCCTCCTGGTGCGCAGCACTGCAGGCATTCCAGGTCTCGGGGCTAGACGATGGGAGAGCAGTGTTCAGGACAAGTCAAGGTTTCTGGGGGACTCAGGAAAGTGGGTGGGGTGAGGGCGAAGGACCAGGGAAGCCCCCTCCCCGCGGGTGGGAGGGGTCGTGGTGGGTGCGTCTCACAAATACTATTAGGGAGCAGCTCTGGCAAGGAGGGACCTGGAGAGCTGTGCCCCACAGACGCTCTCAGCATCCTCCCTCAGGTTTCCCTCTCTGCAACCTTTAATCCTAAACCAAGGTCTTCAATTTGACCGAGCATGCCCGAAGCCCGTGTTAAGAGTGTGGAGTATTGGGGTCCCACTCCCAGAGAGGCCGTCAAGTAGGATGCATTTTAACCAATATCCCAGATGATTCGGCTGCGCGGATCCACGGATCACACTGGATGGCGGTCCTCCTTCCCTCCCACCATAGATGAGGCGATTAATCTGGGAAGCCGTGCCCGTCGTCTTTAGGGGATGATAGGAGGACACTCACAGAGTAGGACCTTCATCCAAGGCTGGGTTTAGGGCTTTAGTTATCAAAGGGACTGCCGCAGGAGCCGGACGCGCTGCTGTCGCGGGCCTGCAGGGGGCGCCAGCAGGTCGCCTCCTGGCTTGCCCAATGCCCCTCCCCGCCCGGCTCCCCACGTGAAAGCGGGCTGGGACCCGAAGAATGCGTCCCCGCCCCAAGGCTGACGTGTGCGTCTCTGCCGGCCGAACTCTTAAAAGCCCGGGCAGAGCACCGGCATCAAAGCAGAGCTGGAGAGGAGGCAAGCGGGAAGGGAACTCGACTGTCGCTGTGCTCCGAGCATCCCGGGAACTTACCGTGTGGACAAGCCTGGCCCTACAGAAGCTGCGGGTGCAGCCCTAGCTCCCCGCCCTTTTCGAAGCTCTCGTGGAGCCTCACGCCCCAGGCGAGCTTTCGTCATTTAGCACAAAGCACGTTTCTAAAAAGCAGCGCTAGCGAGGGCGCCCGGGCCACGATCCCGCGCACGCACTCCCTCTTCCCCTTTGTTTTGGGGGGTCGACACGTCATTCTCCTCCCCAAGTCTGAATTCTTCGCAAAAGGCAGAGGGCGGCTAAGTCTAGGCTGTGAAGATGCCCTTGGAGCTGACTCAGAGCCGGGTTCAGAAGATCTGGATTCCAGTCGACCATCGCCCCTCGCTGCCTAGATGTGAGTGCAGATGCGCGCGGGAGCCGGGCTGCAGGGGAACGGCGCGCCACTTGGAGAGCTAGGCCATTGTATGGTGGGCGCTGGCGGGGCGCTTTTGTGCCGACTCCGCTTCGGCGCACTCGTGCGGGGCTGGGCGCCACCCTCCACCGCTGTCCCTGCCTGCCCGGGCGCCTTCCGTTCCTCCCCGGCGCTCAGGGCGGGGTTGGCTGTGGCGCGGGGCGGGGAAGACACGGGCTCTGGCCCCGGTGCTGCGCCTCCCCTGGCCGGTGTCGTGCGCGCCTTGACGCTGTTGGCTGCACCGCGATGCTCCGCTCGACTCGCGCCCCGGAGCGCAGAGGGATCTGAAACCGCGAGCGCCCCCGGGCCTCAGCTTCTGAGCCCCGGGGGCGGGAAGCGCAGGGCACTGCAGAGAGCCTTTGCTTCGGGACGCTTGGGAAGGGACGCCCGCGTGTCCTCCAGCCTCCGCCCTCCTCCCCGGCGCCAACCAGGCTGAACCCGGCCAAGGGACACGGCCCCTCACACGCGCAGCGTCACTTCGGATCTCTCCCCACTTTCTCTCCATCACTACCTTCCCTCCTCTCCCTCTCGCTTTACCTCTATTTCCATTGCCTCTTAATTCCTCCCTACATTTCTGTCTGCTCTCCCTACCCCTGTATTTCCACCTCCCCTCAGTCCCTTTTCTATCTATTTCTATCACATCTCTATATTTCCATAGCTTGCTTTTCTTTCCTTGCTGTATATTTCTAATCTCCTCTTGACTCTTTATGTATCTTCCCTCTACTTCACTTTCCTTCTCTATTTCCTCTCTCTTTCCCTCCCTCTCCTCACTCCCACCTCCAGGTCCTGTGCTGGGGGCCACAAGAGAGCAGCCCTGGAACCAAGCCTTTGCCTCCAATTTTGGGGAGCGTTCTGTAGATCGGTGACAGCACAGTTGGCAGCGTTTCACTCCGCCGTGCTTGGAATTTGCTGGCAGTTCACCACCCTGTTCTGCCTGTCGTGGGCCATACATGCTTTGGAAGGGTTTACCTTAGGCTCCGTCCCTAGCTATGCAGAGAGCCCCCTCTTAAAAGGGTGGTTCCAGTGCTTTGAAGGTGACACCGCTCCTCCAGGTAACCTGCCCAGGAGTATCAGGTGGATAAGGTAGAGCCCAGTGGTGAGTGTTTTGCCCCAGGCCAGGTCAGGTCACCTGAGAGGTAAACATAGGATCCCAGGTGCAAACCCTAGGGTGGCTTCTAGGCATGGGTGGCGCTGGAGTGTGAGGCCGCCAGCTGGCCTTCTCTGTTGTCATATTTCCGGATGGTCACAGAGGCCATGGTGACAGCTCATACAGGTCACCACTTTGGGCTTTGCCCAGGTCTGAATCCCCCCCCCCCCCCCCCGCCGCTCACCTCAGGACGTGGGGAGAGATGGCCCTATTTTGCTCCTAGGTCATACTAGTGATGGGGACCTGGCAAAGCAGTCCTGACACAGGGGCTGCTCCTCTACCAGCTTGTCCCCCTTTGCTGGACCTGAGGGTTTGGGGGGGCCACAGAAGTCTTAAGGAGAACTAGGTTTCTTTGCAAGGTAGCTGGGGGATTGCCAGTCTGTTTCTTGTTCCCCACCCCTTTCAGATGCGCTTTTAAAAAGCTTGCAAACGCTGACCATGGTCTGCTTGTATTTCTATAAAACCTATTGATGCTGAGGAAGGCAGTGCCTTAAATCCTGAGGGAGATTTGGCCTCTGCAAGATGCAGAAACAACCCCCCCTTTTGTGACTTGGAATAAAATGTATTTATGGAGCACTTTATAAACTAATTGGTCATATGAATATAGGTTGGTTCTATATATGTATGTAAATGCCTGCATTTTTACGTATTTGTGTACACACACGAACACATTTGGTAGTTCCTGAGGTTCGTGGCAGTGGGTTGAGGTCTGGGAGGAATGACCCTGAGGTTGGGAGCGGAGGGCACCCAGATTGGCTGCATTTGCTCCGTCGTGTGATTCTGAGAGACACAGTGTGCAGCGAGCTTCCTCCCTGCAGGCTTTAGAGACCCATCCATTAGACTCTGTTGGCCTGCACGTCTCACACGCAGATGAGAGATTTGCCTAAAAATCCCTGTCAGAACCATTCAGAGCTTGAGGGGCGGGGTGGATGCTAAAGCTGATGGATTATGTCCCTGCCCCGCCCACTTCCGGAATCCTGAGCGTGGTTCTGAGGTATAGTTTCAGACGCGTTCTTCGTTGTAAAATTATCAGCAGCCTGGATAATTATTCCATGCTCTTATTTCAAGTAGCGGTGTCTTTGTTGGTTTCTATAGTCACATTTGTCTCTTATCAGAATAGAGAAAACGGCCTTTCTTCTTGGCATCGCCCCTGATTCCCTCCGCCCTTCTTTAATGGCATTTGGAACATTGGATGGATTTCTCTCCCTCCTAAACCTGATACCGTCTTTAAAAGTGGTGTCCTAATTGGGGGTCTACAGAAGAGTCCTCTGAGGGCACGGGGGACATGACTTTTGATGTGCAAAGGACAGGAAAACAGAAAGCTGCAGATTGATGAGTTTGATGATAGATATTTCTGCCCCTGAAGCACATCATGGGTGCCCTGTTACTACACTCATTTGTGGTAAATGCTTCTTACAAAATCTGCAGCTTCCTTCAAATGCAAACCATAACGGGGGTGGGGGTGGGGGTGGGGTACTTACTGAATTGGTGAATCAGCTTCATCCGCAAGGAAATCAATTCTCAACTGGCAAGGGCTGCCTGTCCTTTCTGTTTATCATCACTAAAGTGGAGAGCTGTGTGCGAGTCTTACCTAGTTACCCACTCAGAGCCTCGGTTTTCTCATCTGTAAAGTAGGTTCCCCGCTGCCCACTGGTAGAAGGGTTTTCATCTCAGTAGGGGCTTAAACCCACTGATGGTACTCTAACTTAAAGAAGCAAGTTAAGGGGATGTTCAAGGGATATCCTTACCCATCCATGGTTGGCCACTATAATTTATAGGCGGTGGTTCTTGTCTCTGGCAGCACATTAGAATCATTTTGGGAGATATTGAAAAAAAAAAACCATACAGGTTCCTCGAAGCAAGTTAGAATTGCCGCAGGTGAGGCCTGGGCATCCTCTTTTCTTAGAGTTCCTTAGGTTCAGCCAGTGGTGGAAAACCGCTAATTGAGGAAAGAACGCTTGAAGGATCCCAGGCGACATAGACCTAGGTGAATCCCAGTTCTGCCCCTTAGTACTTGTGTGGCCCTTCTCTTCATGTGTGGGTCTTAGTTTCCATGTGTCTGGCGTGATGAAAGCCACAAAGGCTGATGCTGACGGAGGCCACTGTAGGAAGCATTTCACATGTATTATGTCGTAATCCTCCCAAGAAATTTGATGAAGCTTCCGTCCATTCACAGAAACGGGAAGTAATACGCTGGGACGTCAAGTAACTTGTCCAAAGTCCAAGGAAGCTGTGGGAACTGGCTTTGAACTCTGTTTGTTTGACTCCAGTCCCTGCTCTCTCAGCCACTATGCTATTGTATTGCCTGCCCAGGTTGTCACATGAGTCACGAAAACGCCCAGTCCCTCACAGTTGCTGGCAGAGACCACGTTGGGTTGGGAGGGCCATTCGTTGGTCAAAAATTAGTTGGACATGCGTTAAAATGTGCACACAAAGTTATGAATGAGTATGGTATTCACCAAATAGTACAGAAGAGCTTTTGAAACAAGTTTAGCTTAGCTGGGTTCTTCCCACCCTCTCAAATCCTCAGGTCTGTCCCTTTGGGGCAAGCTCACTTAGATGTTGGTTCTTTTTTTTTAATTAAATTTTTTTTTTTAGTTACAGTTGACATTCAGTATTATATTAGCTTCAGGTATACAGCATAGTGGTTAGACATTTATATAATTTATGTAATGATTCCCCCCTATTAGTCTAGATGTTGGGTTTTTTTTTTGTTTGTTTGTTTTTAGTTTAGTTTAGGTATACAAAACAACAATGATTAGACATTTACACACCTCACAAAGTGATAACCCCAACAAGTCTACTACCCATCTGACATCGTGTATAGCTATTATAATACCACTGACTATATTCCCTATGCTGTACTTCACACCCCATGACTATATATATAAAGTTATAATTGACATTCAATGTTATTTAATATTAGTTTCAGGTATACGGTGCAGTGGTTTGGCATTTATATAATTTATAAAGTCCCAATAAGTCTAGTACCCATCTGTCACCATAGTTTTTACATTATTGAGTATATTCCTCATACTGTATTTCACATCCCCATGACTATTTTGTGACTACCAATGTGTGCTTCCTAATCCTTTCACCTTCTCCCCCATTCCCCCCAACCCCCTCCCATCTAGCAATCATCAGTTTGTTATTTATTTGAAAAAATATATGCACCCCTATGTTTACTGCAGCGCTATTCACAATAGCCGCGATATGGAAACAATGGAAATGCCCATCAATAGATGATTGGATAACGAACTTGTGGTATATTTATACAATGGAGTACTATTCTGCCATAAAAAAAATAATGAAATCTTACCATTCACAACAACATGGATGGACCTAGAGGATATTTTGCTAAGTGAAATAAGTCAGACTGAGAAAGACAAATACCACATGATCTCACTTATGTGTGGAATCTAAAGAACAGAATACGAACAAACAAAATAGATGTTGCGGTTCTTAACATTAGCTAAGCAGCATCTTTGGGCCGATGTGATCCCAGGAGAGGGTTTATGTCCAGTGGACAGTAGTTAAGTGTTTGCGATAGCTTTCTAGGACTGCATTTCATTCCCTCAGGGCCCAGGGTGTGCAGCAGTTTCCCAGAGAGTCCTTTCTAGGTGGTGGCGGAGCTGCAGGGTCTCAGCAGGTTTTTCTGAGCAGCGTCCAGTTTGCCCTTGCCTGTTGGGAGTAGGTCTCGGTGGTTACTGGAGGCACGCGGCAGTCGAAATTCCATCAGGTGGTGCTGGGGACTGACCCCTCCTGCATCCATTCGTTGCCCTGGGACTTGTCACTAAAGCAATAACTTACCCACTTGTAGAAAAGAACAAGAATGGCTTGGCATCTTTTTGAGGTTAGCATTTTGGAGCACTCCTGGGTAGAAGAAAGCTTGCTGGAGGGTTGGGAGCAGCAGCACAGTGTCTTCCGATGGCTTATTTTATTTTCTGACATGAGTTGTGGGTTGTTGGTATGGTGGGTGAGGACAGCTGCCAAGTGCCTGCTTGTGTCAGTGCATCGCCCATTATCAGAGAGGTTAGCAGCTTAATCCAGTTATAGGGCTGGAATTGGAATTGGAATTGCAGCCTCTGCCCTGTCTGGCTGACCATTTTCAGGCCTGGCTACTCAGGTCACCATAGGTGTTGCTCACCGCACTCACCTGCTGGCCTCCTGGTTATCATTTCCTTTTCTGTGTCCACTTACATCAGGGAACTGGCGCATGCAGCCAGGACGCACGCGTACTAATAATAAAACGGTGTGGCAGGCTGTGGACAGATCCATCTCAGCTCAGCGACGCTGACCCTGGCTACCCAGTTCAAACCACCCTCACAGCCTCCCTGGCGCCAGTGCCACTACTCTTTAAAGGGACGTCTGCTCTGCTCTCATCCTAGCATTATCGTGCTCTGAAATGACCTTGTGCGTTTGTTTGCTTGTGTATTGTGTGTGCCCCACCCCAGACCACATGCCACTTCTCAGCACAGATTGTGCGCACATACACTTGGTGCCCATAGGGCACCCACCAGGGGTGCCCTTGAGTGAGTGAATATAATGACGTTAGAGAGTTGAGGGTGAGCTCCCAGAACTTGGTGACTTTTCGTGAGCTCTTACTCAAGGGATGTCCTTCACCACGGATGACACTTTTACCCCGAGCGTCTCCTCAAACGGTGATCAAGGTGGTTCGTCTGTTAACCTAGCGGTCTTTAAATAGTTGTTTCTTTGCCCCTTTAACATAGTCAACGTCTCCGTATCGCCACATACACATTCATGTTGCCATCTAAATACATCTAAGTATAAAATTTTTTTTTGTCAAAAAGAAGTTAAAATATCGAACATTTGTATAAGAGGAAGTGAAACACACAAGTACGAACTTTTTGGAAAATCCTGTGTTAAACTCCATACTTGTCTTCTGTAGTCCCTGTGCTGGTGGGAAAGAAGGCAGAGCCCCAGGGACGATGGTGTGAGAGGTGGGAGGGGGACTCTCTTTTCCATGGGTTAAACAGTAAAAAGATTCACAGAGAAGATACTGAGGGTCTGGGGGGAACTGAGGCAGGGGCAGGAAGGGGCTTGAAATGTGCTGTGACTTTTAAAAAGAGAGCGGAGGGATGAAGGAGAGTTTTAAGACTCAAAGGATTACTCGAAAGAGTTTGTGGGTCCCCTGCTCCCTTTGAGACCCAGGAGCACCTGGGCCTAGGGGCAGCCGCAGTCACCTTTGGCAGCCCCCTGGCAGCCCCTTTGAATCTTATGCAGGAAGCCGGAGGAGCAGGAACAGTGACTTCTGCTTTGCCAGATGAGGGACTGATGGTTTGCTTAGGTTTGAGATTCAACCTGAACTTTTGCCTTAAGGTGTTTACTCTGCCATATCTTCATGGTTTTTTTCCCTCCCAAAGTGGCTACTGCCAGAGATGTGGAAATCTGTGCGTATGATCAGTGGATAGTGGAACTCCGTAATCCCTGATTTGATAAGTCAGTCAGCTTCTGTCTCCCAAGTCCTGGGCTGGCGTATCTGTGGGTGCGCCCAGCCCAGAGAGAGAGAGAGGGGAGAGAAGGAGGGAGGAAAAACGGAGTGTGTACCTGTGCATGTTTGGATGCACTTGGTGGGGACATCAGACAAGAACAGGGAATGCCACAATGGTTTGGAACAAGGGTTAGTAGAGCGAGTATTGTTTTGGGGGCACAGTGAGAACACTTTCCTCATGTGTCACCTGCGGCTGCCACAATGCATACAGCAGGGTGTGTCTTATGTCCCCCTTGGCTTTTGGGGAGGCCGTCACCTTTATCTGCTTTACCCTCTGGGACTCAAGCAAGCGCATTGGCGAGTCTTTGCTCTGCTGTGTGCTCACATGCGGTAGGGAAATGCCTCTATTTTCTAGGTACTTGGGAGCTGGGGGGTCCTCGCCCAGGGCTTTTGTGGCTCCTGAATGTCTCCTGGCTTCCTGATGGCCTTTCTTCCTCCTCCTCCTCCTCCTCCTCCTCCTCATTCTGCATGGAGAAGGTCACTGATGGTCTAAAAACAGGAAAGAAACAGCCCCTGTATGCTGCGTTTGCTTCCTCCTTGCCCCCAGCCTACAGGTCCAGCGGGCCGGTCCTAGAGTAGCGTGGGGGGCGTTTGGACACCTGACCTCAGTTGAGTCACCGGTTTAGCCGAGCATGGGACTGTGTGTGGGGGCGCGCATTCAGCTTAACAGGAGGCGTCTTCCTTCAAGCCTGTGCTTGTCAGTGGCCTGGTGTCTGCCCCTCCTCCCCCATCTGGCACTTGCCTATTAGAGAGAGACAGAACCCCTGTCTAAATCTGAAGTCTGCCTAGACTCGGGGTGCAACCCGAATGGCTTTGCCTGTACCCACGTGGAGGATGCCTGGGAAGCAAGATGTGTGGCTGATGATGAAAGCTGGGCTGACCACGCGTGCCGGACAGTACTGCTGGGCTGGGAGTGGGCAGGTGGCCAGTCTCTTGCTCCCAACAGGCAGCCCCCAGCTTGCACATACCCATCACCAGGATGCTGGATCACCTGAGAGTCTCAGGGGCAAGACGCCAGCCAAGGAAATCCTGTGCCTTATATGCCCAGAACAGGGCTCTCGGGGCTGCTTTCTTAAAACACAGTGGAAAACCTCCCTCCCTGGCATTTTGTCTTATTGAGATTCCGAGGGACATGGGACAGTCATTCAGCAGCGAAGCCAGGAGATTCACAGCCAGGACCTACTTGGTTTTGGGGGGGTGGGGGGGGTCTCTTCCTTACACCCCAGGAGCACCTTCTGCTCTGGGGTTGGTTCAGTAATGGGGATCCTGGCTGGCTTTGGGGCACTCCCTATCAGGCTGGGAATTTGGGGCTGGGAAGGTCCCTGCCATGCATCGCATGAAAAAGCAAGATGGAGCTGCAAGGTGTGACTGAGGGGCTCTGGCCACCAGGGGGCCCTGGTCCTGCTGGATTGTAAAATGCCAGGGGCTTTCAGCTGGGAATGAAATAGGAATTTCTGTGGGAAGCTTTAGTTTGTTGTGGGGCACATGATGACTTTGTCCGTCTCCGTGAGCTGCTTCATCAATGGCACCTTTCTTTGTTGTTCTTCCCAGCCTGTGGGCCAAAGCTGACCAACTCCCCGACAGTGATCGTGATGGTGGGCCTCCCAGCCCGGGGTAAGACCTACATCTCCAAGAAGCTGACTCGATACCTCAACTGGATTGGTGTCCCCACGAAAGGTGAGGCCGTGTCCCAAGGATGGGTAGTCACACTACGTGCTGTGATCCTGCTCCCCCCACCACTCCCAGCCCCAAACCAAAAAAGAAAATGGCCCTTCCATCTCCAGCAGCTGGGACTCACCATGCAGAGCCACTCCTGGGCTGGTCTGTCCCCTGTAGTGGGGGGACCCTTTTCGGCTGTGTCGCCTACCATGCTGTATACACACCCTTACTTTGTGTTGGGATCTTTTCTCACTGGCTGCTCTGTTATTCCCACTGCCCTGGAACCCACCCAGCTCAGCCCTCACCTCCGTCAAGAAGCTTTCTCTGGCCACTGCAGTCTATGCTGATCCTTTTCCTTTCAATTCCCATAGCACTTCGTTGTGACATTTGTCTACCGACTGTCATAAAGTGCTCCACACTGATTCTATTCTTATCAACTTTGCCCTGTCTTTCCAATCCATATGGGAACTGTCTCAAGGACAGGGACTCATTTTTAATCTTGCTGTGCCCAGCGCAGTGCTTCGGACAGGAAATGCACATAAATATTCAGTGCTTTTCCTTGGGCACAGGCTGCTGCATCAGCAGAATGGCTGAGTGGGACCTGGCAGTGGTGTGCAGCCCCACTCTCTCCTGGGCACCATCGACAGAAATCATTGCCCCTGTTTTCACTACCCGTGTGACAGCCACCTGTTCTCAGCCTCTAGTCCCTGACCTGGTGAGGCTGGGCTGGAGACTGGTTGTAGAAAACTACCTGCAGAAAAGCAGGCGGCTGTGAGCTGTGTTTGGTTGGTCCAGGAGAGCTGATTTGCCTGTTGGGGCAATGATAGCATGGGACCGAGGAGGTTCACTTCCTGGTTTCCTTGTCTTACCGGAATCTGTGTGTGTGTGTGTGTGTGTGTGTGTGTGTGTGTGTGTGTTGGCTAGGTTTCCTTTTTTGGAGAGTGTTCCCAGCTGTGCATGGCCTCGTCTTCCTGGGGGCCAGCTAAGTGTCCTCTGTCTTCTGTCCGCAGTGTTCAATGTCGGGGAGTACCGCCGGGAGGCCGTGAAGCAGTACAGCTCCTACAACTTCTTTCGCCCGGACAATGAGGAGGCCATGAGAGTCCGAAAGTAAGGCCCAAGCTGCCATGGAGGCCTGGGGTTTGCTTTGCTTTGCTTTTCAAAGCCAGGCTCTGTTAGAGAAAGAGGAACTGGCCTGTGGTGTGGCTCTCCACGGGTGGCCGTCAGATCTGGTCCCACCTCCACGTGCATGTGGATGAGCCTCCTGGCCTCTCAGAGACTCGCTGCTTTCATCTGCTCCTAGGTGGTCTAGCCCAGCTGATGTGATACAGCTCCACAACAATGTCTCCTTATTAAGGCTGAACAACATTGTTTTCATGGAAAATCAGCTGCTTACACTGAACAGGATTTTTTTTTTTTTTTGAAGCCCAAGGGGATCATGAAACCCAAGTCCAGTGGTGTTCGGCCCTGGCTGCACTTTAGAATCGCCTGGGAGTTTGGAAAGTCCCTGATGCCAGGCCTACCCTAGACCAGATTAGTGAGACACCACGTCAGGACCCGGGCATCGGTTTCTCAGAAGCTCCCGGAGGGATTTCAGAGTGCAGCCAGGCGTGAGCAGCACTTCGATGGGGAGCCTCTGGGCCTGCAGGGTCTGGCCTGGCAGCCGTGACCAGCCTGAGCCCTTTAGCTGTAGAATCGCCAGTCACTCTGCTCACTGCGGGGAGGGGGGGGTTGCCTGGGCTTCTCCCGACGGATGTGGATGGGCCAGCTCTGATACGTCTGCTCTTTCTGTGTGTTGCAGGCAGTGTGCTCTAGCTGCCTTGAGAGACGTCAAAAGTTACCTGACAAAGGAAGGGGGCCAGATTTCAGTAAGTCTCAGGAGTACGCAGGCTCCATCTCCAATCCCATAGTGGGATGGTGCCCTGGAGAGAGCGAAATGTAGACACTGGCCCAAGCAGTGCCGAGAGCCATTGTGGGGACACCTCAAATAGGGACTAGTGCCTCTGGCCTGAGAGTTGACGGAAGCAGGTGGCTAGAGCAGCACAGGGACCCAGGAAGGCTCGGCGGGGGTGGACTCGGGGGCACAGTCAGCCAGTGTGCTCTGCTCACCCCTCCTCTGTGTGCAGTCGGCCCCACCCTCCAAAGCAGGCTGGGCCTGGGGTGGCTGCAGCCGTGGAGCCAGTGTTCCTCCCATGTGCACCCTTCCCTGCGTGTTACCGTTGTTTGTTGTTCGTTTGCTTTAAGGACTATCCCCACCCCTTCCCTTTCATCCCTGAGTGCTGGAGGTGGTGGGGGTGGGGGTGGGGGATGGCCGTGGGCAGGACGCAGTCTCTCCCGGAACCTTGTTTTTGGCTTATGCCTGGAAGTGACAAGTCTGACCTACTTGGTGTTTTGGCAAATACTGTTAAACTCGAACTTGGGTTCTCTTCACTGCCCTTCTTTCTCCCTGTCAGGTTTTCGATGCCACTAATACTACTAGAGAGAGGAGGCACATGATCCTTCATTTTGCCAAAGAAAATGATTTCAAGGTGAGCCAGGCTTCATGTGTTGCCCTGGAGAGCTCAGGAGAAAGGAAATCCCTCAGGGACCGACTCTTTGTACCTGGTCCTTCACCTCCCACTGCCCCCTGTTTTGCTGCATACAGATAGGGCCTTCCTGGTGGGGCTCTTAGGGGTTGCCCTGACTGGGGAGGGCGAAGCAGCTCTCCTTTGGGGGAGGAAGGACTTGGGATTGAGTGGGTGGTGGTTGTTTTTTATGTTTTGGGGATCTGTGAGTGGTGTCTTTCCACCTCAGATGTGGCGATCACATCACAGTGATACCAAAGTTGCCCCTTTGTGTTACCGCATTTGCTATTTCCTAATATTTCTGTCTCCCATCCTCCCAGGTGTTTTTCATCGAGTCTGTGTGTGATGACCCCACAGTCGTAGCTTCCAACATCATGGTAAGACAATGCAGGACCCCCCGGTCTAGTGCTGCAAGGCCCAGAGAAGTAAATAAGCCCTGAGAGCAAGCTGGTCCTCTCTGCGTGCTGTTGATTTTGTCTGAGAGGTAGGGTCCAGGAGGCCAGAAGGGTAGAGTGACATTTCACTTAGAAGCATTGCCGGTGACCTGGACTTCCAGGCTTTCCCCGGGGGCCTTTCAGATAGTCAGCAGAAAGCAATGTTTGTGGGACATGAGAGATAAAGTGGGGGTGCAGGAACAGTTTGTGTGGGTGGCAGTAGCTCGGCGGCTGGGTGGTGATGGGGCTGCTCGCTTCTCCCAAAGGGAAGCTGCCTTCTCCACATGGAAAAGGAGGCAGCAGGTGGGTCCCTTTTGCTGCTAAGGGCCCTCCCTGGTTGGTAAGAATGGCTGTGTACGGACTGACAAAGGCCATAAGACTCAGCAGACTAAAGGCAGAATTCCCACCTTTGGGAACCTTGGGGGCTGGTAAAACTATCTTCCTCCTTAGACGTCTACAACATACCCTTCTCTCCCTGTGCCAAAGGGAGGCGTCCAGATAAATGAAGGGTAATTTGGCAGCTTAACTGAATGAATTCTTACATTTTATCACTTGATAGCAATATATCATAAATAGGAACGGTTACTGTGAAGACTTGAGCACAAGTCACCTTCTCACGTTGTAGATAATTTTCTATTCAGCTTAAATACATCAGAATAAGCCGCAGCTAAACAGAGCACAGGTGTGAGACATCTACAGGGAACGTGGTGATATGACTCCATACAAGTGTGCGTCTTTAAAGGGATGCTGAGCGCTCCTTAGCTTCTGGTACCGGGCCTTTTCTGTAAGGCAGTGGGACTATTTACAAGCATTTCTAAGAAATGAGTTCATATTTCAGGAAGGGCTATTCAAATGGTGGAAAATCAGTCCAGATTAGTTTCAGCAGGCCCAAAGGAAGAGGCCCAAGGGCGAGGAAACAGACGTTGCTGTGACCTAAACAAAGGGTTTGGCTGTGTTTCTTCGGTTGGGTTCTACTAGTTCCACTTGGTAGTGAAGGGAAGAGCGGCTGCAAAATTGCCTTTCCCTGGGGAGCAGTCCCCACACGCTTGACCAGGAGTTGACCGTTTGTTAACACAGCGAGTCACGTGCCCGGCCCTCCGCGTTCAGAAGCCTCTTTCTCTGATTAGGCCTCAAAGCAACTTTGAAGCTTTGGCCTTTCCACTGTGCTCTTTAGGTGGGTGGCCCTGCTAAGGAGAAAGGGATTTGCTGTTCGGTGCTCAGTCCCATGGCACCAAGCATATTCACACGGTAGTGCCACCATCACCACCATCCCTCTCCAGAACTTTTTCACCTTCCCAGACTGAAGCTCTGCACCATGAAACAGTAACTCCCCATTGAACTTGGATTTTTGAAGAGTAGCTGCCTCTCATTCATGGCTGTGGTAGTTGTTGAGGAGGAAAAGAACATGTGCTTTAAAAAATTCAGAGCTAGGGCCGGCTGAGTGGCTCTGTTGGTTAAGAGCTCGCTCAAGAGTTTGAGCTCTGAGCAACAGCGGTTCGAGTCCTGGCCCGAGCTGAGCAGCCGCTGAGCTGCCAACAGGTGGCAGCTAAAAAAAAAATAAATAAATTCAGAGCTTCCCTAAAATCTGCCAGATCTATCGTGCAGTTATAGACAATGACAGGCCCGAGGGTCGGTTCTCCGGCATCTCCTTCCTTTGAACGCAAACCTTGGGCGTGGGGTCCAGGTGGAGAAGCATTAATCAGGGACCAGTTCCAAGTGTGCGCTGCCCCATCTGTGGGTGCTGGAGGGAGAACCCTGCCTGCCACACAGGGCCAGGGACATCACCAGCAAGTCCCCAGGGCACCGTCGCTAAGTGACAATCTGCCCTTGGTGTGGGGAACACTGTAGATGCTGATGTGGAACATGGTTGACTTGAGGGCTGGGTTGTCTAGGGGTGACTTGGCTACTGGATTGATCCCCAGTCGTGACCCATTCAGAGGCGTGCATGAGAATCCGCGTGTCTCCATCCTTTCAGGCAGTGATCCTCTCCACCGTGGTGCCCTCCCCGTGTAATCATGGCCTTAGGACTTGACCCCAGTGTATGTCTTTTTTCTCTTACATGCTGGGTCGGATCATCATTACCCTGAGCCTTTCTGTGCTTTCCCTATTTGCCAGCTTCAAATCCTGCTTCAGCTAAGCAGAAAGCCTCCCAGCACGATTCATCAGCTGCCCCTTTGTGGTGTTACAGGAAGTGAAAATCTCCAGCCCGGATTACAAAGACTGCAACTCAGCAGAAGCTATGGACGACTTCATGAAGAGAATTAACTGCTACGAAGCCAGCTATCAGCCCCTCGACCCTGATAAATGTGACAGGTAATCACCGGCTGGAAGGCTTTTCGTTTCTTGATGTTCCCGCAAAGCATCTGCTCCTGGATACTTTCACAAACTCACTTTTCAAATATCTTTTTCAGAAATTCCTTGATCGCACATTCAGTGTAACTATTTCAGACACTCACCAAGTAGAAGTGTGGAAAGTGACTATTTGAGCCAAGTCTTGCTGCTGTCTCACTGACATTGCCTCTACTTTCTTTTGCATTCTCTTCTTTCCCTCCCCCTCTGAGGCCAGCAGCCTCTCAGCCACACGCTGTGCTGCGCGTGTTACACACTCACTCTCACTCTGAGAAGAGATTCAGTCTGTGCCCTAAGGGAGCATATAGCCTGACGTCGTGGTTCTGTTGGCCCGGTCTCTGCAGCTGGCCCAGGGGGGATTTGGCCCAGGCTGGCAGTGCTGTGCTGGCGGAGGCTTCTGACCAGCGGGGTCCGCCTTCTGTGCAGGGACCTGTCACTGATCAAGGTGATTGACGTGGGCCGGCGGTTCCTGGTGAACAGAGTCCAGGACCACATTCAGAGCCGCATCGTGTATTACTTGATGAACATCCATGTGCAGCCCCGCACCATCTACCTGTGTCGGCACGGCGAGAGCGAGCACAACCTCCAGGGCAAGATTGGCGGGGACTCGGCCCTGTCCGGCAGGGGCAGGAAGGTAGGAGAGGAGCAGGGCAGGCAGGGAGCTGTGTGTCGTGTGTGTCTCTCTGTCTCTCTCTGTCTCTCTCTCTCTCTCTCTCTCTCTCTCTCTCTCTCTCTGTCTCTCTGTTTCTCTCTCTCTCTCTGTCGTATGTCTGTGTGCCCCTGCCTGTGTGTGTATGTGTGTGTTTCTCTATGTGTATAAGTGTGAGTTTCTGTATGTGGGTCTGTATACAGAGGGTGCCAAAGAAATGTATACACATTTTAAGAAAGAAAAAGACTGTATTAAAATTGGAATACTCCATATATACCGATAACAAAAGATGAATACAAGTCACGTTTGACTTCTGCAACTACAAGAGGTGCTCAAAGTGGTTGCCATCAGTGTCCAGACGCTTCTGGTTATGGCGAACTACTGCTTGAGCAACGTTGACCAAAGTGTCCACTTGTATACATTTTTTTGGCACCCTGTGTATATAGACATGTCTGTTTCCTGTCCCTGTGTGTCTCTGTGTGTCCCTGTGTGTGTCAGTGTCTGTGTGCGTGTGTGTCCATCTGTGAGCGCGCGCGCGCTCGCGCATGCGCTTCAGAAAGGAGGGGCTGTGGGGAGGGTATGTGTGTGGGAGGCTCCTCCTCACCATCCTAAGAGCAACAGAGCAGCCGTCGCTGGCGTGAGGGGAGGAGCCCGGCACTGCTTCCCAGGAGGCATGGCAACCTAGAGTGCAGTGCGTGTCCTCTCATCCCACGCCCTTGCAGTTTGCCAGTGCGCTGAGCAAGTTTGTGGAGGAGCAGAACCTGAAGGAGCTCAAGGTGTGGACCAGCCAGCTGAAGAGCACCATCCAGACGGCAGAGGCCCTCCAGCTCCCCTACGAACAGTGGAAGGCACTCAATGAGATCGATGCGGTGAGTCCCAGGCTGGCTGAGGCTGGGGGGGTTGGGGGGGCGGAGAGCCGAGGGCAGAGGGCCCTTCCCACCGAGTCTGCTGGGCATCCCATTGAGACCCCCTCGAGGTGGCCGCGTGGGGCATGTTCCCTCCTGTGACCTCTGTGTGTTTCCTCCAGGGTGTCTGTGAGGAGATGACCTACGAGGAGATCAGGGACACCTACCCCGAGGAGTTTGCCCTGCGCGAGCAGGACAAGTACTATTACCGGTACCCCACCGGGGAGGTGCGTGTGCTGTCCCTCTGCCACCTTGTTCATTCGGCGCACGATGGTCCCGTGTAGCTGGCGTGTGCTGTGCGTGGAGGAGCTCACACTGGGCCTTCAGAGGCCGGGGTATTGGACGAGGCCAGGAGAGGGCTGCTGGGACCTAGCTAGTCAGAGAAGGAGATGGGGGGTGGGCAGCAGAGGGACCGGTGTGAGTGGGAGCCTCGGTGCTCGTAAAAGTCGTAAGCCTACCCCTTCTTCTTCAGTTTCTTTTTATTGAGATAATATTCACATAATATGAAATTCACTGTTTTAACCATTTTAAAGGATACAATTCAGTGGGTTTTGGTACATTCACAGTACTGTGCAACCATCACCACTAATCCTAGAGCGTTCCATCACTCCAGAAAGACACTGCAGCCTGTTAGCTGTTGGTCCGGATTCCCCCTACCTCTAGCCGCTGGCAGCCACGAACCTACTTTCTGTCTCTATGGAGTTGCCTATTCTGGACCTTTCCTATAAATGGAATCACACAGTATGCGGTCTTCTGTGTCTGGCTGCTGTCCCTTAGCTGAATGCTTTCAAGGTTCATCCACGTTGCAGCGTGTGTCAGTTCGGCACTCCCCTGTGTAGGGTAGAGGGTTAGGAAGGGGAAGCAACAGTGAGAGAGACGGAGGATGCAGGCTTATGTCCTCTCAGAGGATGGCTTCTCCACACACTTCCCTTTCCTAGGAAGCCAGTCGAGGTAGGTCTCCAGGGCCCACAGGGGCAGTAGCACCGACATGCTCCAGGGGGTGGCTGATGCATTGACTGCGTGTCCTCTGGTTCATAATCGGGGTGGCTGAGATGGTGATGTCCCCAGCTACCACCAGCCCCTCCCCCCTCCTCCCCACCCACTGTGTGTTTCTGCTGCAGCACAGCACCCTGTCCCTCTGTCTTGCAGTCTTACCAGGACCTGGTCCAGCGCCTGGAGCCGGTGATCATGGAGCTGGAGCGTCAGGAGAACGTGCTGGTCATCTGCCACCAGGCTGTTTTGCGTTGCCTCTTGGCTTATTTCCTGGATAAGAGTGCAGGTGCCACCACTGTCCTCTGAAGCTTACTGGCGGGGAGGTTGGGGGTGGGGACTGGGCGCCTGGTGCGGCCCCTGAAAGGAGGGAGGGAAACTGGTCTCTGAGTTTGGGGTGGCTCACCCAGCCCGCACACGTCGTCTGGTGCTGCTCAGGGGCCCTCCAGGCCTCGTGCTCCCTTGCCGGCCCTGGGAGACATCAGAGCACAGGGTCATGCACGGTGGGCTTGAGGGTAGGAAACAGCCTCCTGAAAGCTCGTCCACATCCACCTGGGGGGCTTTGGGCTGGGTGGGGCGGGGCTTCAGTCCATCTCCAAGGAACAAACAGACCAGAAAACTGACTTAAAATTTAAGCCTGTGTCTGCCTGAGTTTCAGCTGGATCCTGACACACCTAAGTTGTTCGGGGAATGACTTTTTTAAACTCCTAACTCATTGTGTGGGGCTGGGTTTGGGGTTTGTTTTGATTTAATTCTTTGGACTAGGTGTCTTTTCTAGGGCCATCTGCCCTGAGTGAGGGCCTGTGGGAGGGGTGAGGGGTAGGGGGAGATGCCCCTGTCTGGGCCAGGCCTCTGGGAATACCAACATGGCAGACCTCTCCCTTGGGGCCTGTGAATGTCTGTCTTCAAGTCTCATATCTAATCACGGGGCCCTTTCTCTTCCTTTCAGAGGAAATGCCTTACCTGAAATGCCCCCTTCACACTGTCCTCAAACTGACACCTGTCGCTTATGGTGAGTGTGGCCATGCAGCTTCTGCCGAGACCTCCTCCCCTGGGATGGTAGCTCCTGGTGGCTGTGGGGCTGTAGGTGGCCCGTCCCCTTTAACCGGAAGCCAATCTCCCCCCTGCCCCCACCCAGGTTGCCGTGTAGAATCCATCTGCCTGAACGTGGAGTCAGTGAACACACACCGGGAGAGGTCAGAGGTGAGTGTGAGCGCCCCCATCCTGAGGTCTGTTGAGTGATGGGACCGATGCATGTGAACTCTTGGGAAGTCCCCTCGATCTCGTAAATGCTGACCTGTGTCTTTCAGTACGTTCTCATGTAGATGGTTGGAACGGCGAGGGCCTGGGTGTCTTTCTCCCTCCCTTTCCTCAGCATCCGTGTGCTCCTACCCTGTCTCATGTCTTCTTGGCATCTTTTCTTTTCTCTCTCTTTCCATGCTTTCCTCCCAGCTCTACTTGACCCGAGAAGTGAGTATTAAAGAAGACACATGCTGCTCTTCAGCGGACCCACAGCTCAGTTGTTGTTGTTGCCTTTCCCTCTGGGGCAGCTAAAACTACTTCCAAATTCCAGAGTTACTGGTTAAAATAGGGTCAGCCAGTCTGCTCAGTCACCTGTGTGCACCTGGGTACAGAATTGCCAAGAAGACGATCATAGAGACAGAAGAAGCGGGACTGGAGAAAAACATATGATTTGGAAATTAGAAACTTTAGGGATGGCGATGGGGTTTTTTCCGGAGACCCCAGTGCCCGGTGGCACCTGATTGCAGATTTCTGCCCAGCTGTATGTTGTGAAGGAAAGTTAGAACTTACTTTGTACCGACAGTCGAAATGCAGTGCTTTGCCAGTATCAGCCCGACACTTGCTTTTACACTTAGTGTGACATTCCTGTCCACACAGGAGACTTTCCTCTTCCTGGGGAGCTTGGCCAGGAGATTTTGGCATTAAAAGTTGTCTGGCAGGGTGCCTGGAACACAGGAGGACAGAGTCCCTCTGTGACGGCCCCCTGTTGAACATGTGTGGTAGCGGATGCTGCATTTCCTGTGGCCCCGTGAGGACCAGCCTCCCAGCCGGACCCTCCAGCAGTGCGGTTGGGCCAAACTGGGCCCTGATGGTCTCTGAACACTTCTCTGTGCAGGACCGGGCCAGGGTCTCGGTAGAGACAGACCTCAACTCCAGTTCCTGGGTCATGAGCCGCAGAGTGACAGGCTGAGGGGACTTCAAATCCCATCGTTCCAGTCACGTTGCCCCTTGATTGGAAGGCTAGTGTTTGGCCCTGGCTGGCTGTTTCTGCCTCCCTCAGGCCTTCTGTGTCTTTGGTCTCCTGACTCCTTCGAAGCCTGCCTTTTCTGTCCTGAGCTGGGGTATAGTTACGGGGTGCAGGAGCAGTTCCATGTCTACTCTGCAGATCCTGGCTGGCGGTCAGCAGGAGGGAGTCCAGCAGCGACACCTTCTCCCGCCGCGCTCCAGCTGTCTTGTGCCCTCAGTGGCTCCCTGAGCCTCACGCTCAGGACTTTCTCCCCTGCACTCCCCTCCACGGAGGCTGGCAGCAAGGTTCTTTTCTTCCACCTCGTTATCTGTTATAATTGACTGCTCCTGGTATTCCTCCCTCACCTGCTTTGCAGATGTCAGTGTTTGTCCTAGCAGGTGTCTTGGAATGTTCCGGAAAAGGGGCTTGGGAGGAGATCACCCCTTAATCTTGCGAACTGGAAGACACAGGACAAAACAGCAACCCCGTGGTCCTAGGGCCATTCACGGCGGTTGGTCTTGTCGTATCAGTAAATTCCAGAAGCAGAGAAGCATGTTTGGTTTGGTTTTGATTCTGGGGCCTTATTTACCTCCCCTCTCCTTGTAACTGTCGCCTTCTCTCTTTTGTCTTTGTCTCGCTTAGGATGCAAAGAAGGGACCTAACCCACTCATGAGACGCAATAGTGTCACCCCACTAGCCAGCCCTGAGCCCACCAAAAAGCCTCGCATCAACAGCTTTGAGGAGCATGTGGCCTCTACCTCCGCTGCCCTGCCCAACTGCCTGCCCCCGGAGGTGCCCTCACAGCTGCCTGGACAAGTGCGTTACCCGCCTTTCCCTTCTTGCAGTCGTGTCTCGTGTCTGAGTGGGGAGGAGAGCACACCAGTGGGGAGAGCTATGGCCTCAGACCCAGGCCTGCGTGCGGGTGGTGGCGGGGGAGAACATGGGGACAGCCTTTGAAGTTTGTGACACTCTAGAGGTCCACAGTCAGGTCCGTCCTGAGCAGGGCTGTGAGTGTGCTTGCCTGCTTCTTGGGGAGGCCATCTTCACTGAGCAGAATCGGGTAGAGCTGACAAAACGGCAAAATGTCTGTGTCCCCTTCCCTTTCACGAAAGCTTTTTCTAAAACAAAGCTGAAGGCAACCCCTGGTTCAGAAGTCTCCATGCAGCTCTGAGCTGGTACTTTCCTCATGGCCTGAGGACCTCTTTTCTGTCCCAGGTCCACGGCTGAGTATTTTTCCTCACTTCCTCCCTTGCCATGGCTCCCACTGTCAAAGAGCTGTAGTCGGACGGGGCCCTCACCCGGAGCCCGCAGGGTCTGGTGACAACGGGGCAGCCTGACTCGCAGGGCTGGATGGCCTGGAAGTAGCCACTTTCTCGCATAGCCGTTACATCAGAGGTAGTAAAAAAAACGAAAAGCAGAAAACCAGCTATGTTTCATTTACTTTATTTGCTATGAAGATTAAAGGCTGAAAGATCTTGGCTGTAGGGCATTCAGATTTGTTTTCAGAAAACCATTTTCCCCCCTCAACGACAGTCAAGAATCTTTGCCAATATGTGAGGCGTAGAACATCCCTGGTCCCACCCAGGGGTCTCCCCCAACCTCCACCCACCAGGCCTGGAAATGTGCTGTGCAGCCTCGGGCAGGCCGTTGAACCTCTTCAGGCCTCAGTTTTCTCATCTGTGGAATGGGCGAGTAGCAGCTCCGATGAGGGGGCAGCGCTGAGCAGCGAGCACAGCCGTGTCTGCCCTTGGCACGAACTAGGATTTTATTGCCAGGTTATGCTCCTCCTTGGCCTTTAGCTTCCTTATCTCTAAAAATGAGAAGGTAGAACTTAGAGATGTCTAATTAATATCCTTTCAGGTCTAAAATTAGAGGGTTTTTGTTGAATGAAAACTGAGAACTGAAGTGGTGTGCCTGACATGCCGCTTTGGTGTAACCTGTGGGGTCATAGTTGGGCGTTTCGAGGCCGCTGTCACAGATGCGTGGGGGAGCTGCCTGGGTCAGGCTGAGTGGTGTGCGGGGCTGTACGGCCCAGGTCACGGAGGATGCACTGCCGAGGCTGCCCCTGACGTTGACAGGGTGGGCCTTCAGGGTTGCTGAGCCAAATCAATACAGCAGAGGATGTCCTTGTTTCAAATGACTCCAGCCCTGTCCCCTGTCCCTCGACTGACCTCTCTCTTTCTCTCTCTCAACCTTTTCTCTCTGCAGCCTTTGCTAGGGAAAGCCTGTTTGTAAGTATTTTTCTCTGAATAATTTTGCTGCTCACACCTCTTTGTCCTCGCTTGCCAGTCTGGCCTCCTGCCTGTTAAAATGTTGAGGATCGTGACAGTTGTTGTGAAATCCGAAAGAGAAAGCTGAGCATGGGAGGAGGGAGAAGAGGATTCATGAATCTGTAGCAAAGGACTCAGGAAGTCATTCCAGCCCAGCTGTTTTCTGTGTGTCCTGATGCCACCCCTGCTCCGGTTGGCACCTAACTTCCCATTAATACCTAATCCCATTTTTCCCTCCTAGAGGCAGGTTTGTGTGGTAAGCTGGGTCTGCGCCGGCTGCCATTGTCCTTTGAGTTCTGTGTCTCCCCTAGGAGAGCCCTTGAACTTTGAGAGGCAAATGTGCCCAGAGCCTAGTCTGCAAAACAAACAGAGGGGCCCCCTCCCCAGGGGTTCCAGGACCCCCACACTCCTGGAAGTGTGTTTGGAAACCGTCCGGATCGGGAACCTGCTCAGCCCTCACAGTCACGTGCAGGATTGGAGCAGCTTACGAACCAGACTCTCCTTCCGCCAGAGCTCTCTGCAGAAAGTCCTGGTTACGTGTCAGCTGGAGCGGCCGCTGGATAATACAGTGTTTCCACTGCTCCGGTGGCCCCCAACCACAGAAGGACCCGGGGCCTTTGTTGTAGTCACAGAGTTTTAGCCACAGCCACCATGAAATACCCCCTCCCCAGCCCCTCAAGGCACACTCACCTGTGCTCCCTCTGGCTGATAAGGGCACCTTGACTAACTCATGCCGAAGCAGACAGTGCTTGCAGGGTGCAGCCTGATAAGCTTCCACGCATGGCTTGTTCTGGGGAAACGGAAGCTGTTTGGGCACCGTGGTTGGATCAGCTGTCACCACCTGTAATGAGGCATATTTTGTCATGCTTTACAGCTCACAGAAAATGTGTCTTTGGCCCTTAAAATAACCCCAGCACGTGGGCAGGGCAGTCACTATCTCTGTTTACCAGATGAGGGCCAAGCATCCATCACTTGCCCACGGTTACCCAGCCAGTCACGGGCAGAACCAGGCCTGGACCGGGTCTCCCAGTGCTGGAGGCTGCCTGCTTTCTCTGGGCCACAGTCTCTGGGAACAGCCAACATACTGTTCACCGCCCCCCCTACCCCCCACAGCTGGTACCCGCCATTGCAGCCTGTTGGGGGGCACTTCCCGGGGCTGTGTGATCCCCTTTTACCTCTTGCAGCCTCTCCCATGCAGCTGCTTCCTGTGGCTGAGGTGTGTGTTTACTGGATGGCCAGCCTGTCCATAAAATTATGTCCGTTCCCCCCGCCCTGAAGCCAGGCGTTGTACACAGAATGCTTCAGATTAAGACTTCTCCTGGCGGGAAAACTCACCTCTGAGTTTGGATCCTTACAGTTTTGCATCTGTGCACCGCCCGCACCTTCTGACCCGTGGCCTGATGTTGGCAGGAAAGAAGCCATCCTGCTGGGAGGGGGCCGTTCGGGCACTGCCCTGAACCCGCTAAGGCTGAACTTACCCCTCTGCAAGGCTAACAGCGCCTTGGGCTAGACCCCGTCCAGCGCAGCAAAAATGTGCTCTCTGGACCCTCACACCTGCGTGCCACTGTGGGTCACAATGTCCAGCCCAGTGTCTGAGGCTGTGGATCCCACAATGTACTGTGAAGTCACTGAGCTGGCTTTGAATCTTGGTTCTCCTGCCCTCGCTCTTGGGAACTCTGGGCAAGGTGATGCAATCCTTCAGCTTCCTCCTCTGTACAGTGGAGATCAGAACGTTCCAGGTGTTCTAATGTAGCCTGGTGGCCGACAGCGGTTACCATGGGAGAGATGGCGCCCTGTGCTTTGGTGGTACATCCAGCGCGCTCTGGTTCGCACTCCGCTCAGCATGTTGATGCCGTGTTCCTTCTGCACAGGCCAGCGGGGTTTCTTCTCAGGAGCACCAAGAGACTGGGGAGTAGGGGAGCCCCTGGGGTCTCACAGGCTGTGGTCTGAGGAGATCAGTGATTGTGGTTTCACAGTAAAGTGGGTGAGACAGCCCAGTCAGATGGGGTGCCCTGCCGTCTCCCCTCCCCCACACCCCAGGGGCTGTACCTGTGCTCAGGGCCGACAGAGCATTCATGATTCATCCTTGCTTTTGAAATTTCAAATGCACACTAAAAAGAAAATCCGACTAAAGATGTTTTGTTTTTCTTTTCCAACATGTTTCTTCCTTCCCCCCACACTATGCTTGAAAGACGAACTGTCTGTCACATTTTCTCAAAGTTTTCTCCTTACTAACCTTGGAAAGGTAAATGGCTCGGTGCATGCCCCTCTCTGTTCTTGAGTCATGGCATCTCTGCCCGGCAGGGCACCTTGGTCTGTGTGAAGACTGGCCATTGTGAAGTATGTGACTCATACACCCTGTGCCAGAGAACTTGTGATTTTTAAGAGCAGCACCATTGTCTTGAGGTCCCCTCTCTCACTTCCTCCTTTCCCTCCATGTGTCCTGAGCCGGGGCCACCATGAGTGAATGACTGGACATAGCTGTGCCTGCGGTCCCCAGTGTCATTGTTTCATTGCCATCATTTCTGGGTGCTCGGAGCCTTGGGCTTGCCATGTCTGAGGGCGGGTTGGACCCAGCCGCTACAGAGGGACACGGCAGCATCTCGCTCTTGGACCCCACGAGTTGGCTGGTCCTCTCTGGCTGCGGGGCTACAGGCCCCCCGCCCCTCCCCCAGCAGACCCCACACACAGAGGCTGTCTCATGTCCTCGCGGGTGGAGGGTTGGGTCGCCTGGGCTCCTGAGTCCGGCAGAGAGCAGGCTCAGATCTGGGCTCCGGCTTCTGGGCAGCCAGCCTGGAATTCTCTTCTCTAGAGATTTCTGCACCGGGGCCTGGGATTCTGCGTGGGAGGGGAGTGGGCTGAGGTGATCCTTGCATAGCTGTCTGCCTGGGCTCCATTCTCCTCCACCCTTTTAAGACAGTCTTGGTGGAGACACTCGGGATGGGAGAGAACACTTTCGAAAATTGTTCCCTTTTTTTGAGGGATGAATTAAGAAGGTTAAGTAAAGAGACCACTGGTGTGCACTGGCAGCCATCATTTGTCCCCAGCTGATTGAAAAACATTTTTTTAAGGGGGTTTTGATACTGTCCAGCTTCTTCGCCGGGAGGCTTCTGGCTGGGATGGCTTTTATTAGAGCGGGAAGAGAGCTTTAGTAACAGTGCCTTCTCTGCCTGGCTCCCTGGCCTGGGGTCCTCGCCCGCACCATCCAAGTCAGCTGGCAGCACCTGTGTTCCTAGAACCTGGAGCCCAAGGGCTGTGGCGTGCGGCTCTGCTCGGGCCCAGTTGGGAGGAGAGCCCTTATGTTATGTTAGAGGGCCCCGGGTGTGTCCTTGGCCTGCCGTCGCCAGCAGGACTTCCCTGGGTGGTGATGGGCAACCTCGGGCCTCTGAGGGTCCCTTTGGTGCCAGCCCCAGAGCTGCCTGCTCTCCCCACCTCCCCTCTCTGCCTCCTGCAGGCAATGTCAGGCCTCTCTGCTATGAGGCCCTGGTCCTGTGTGACCCTGGGCTTACCCCCGACCTGTCCCTGGGGCCTCCTTGGGCAACTTGTACCTGTTTGGTTACCGATGCTCTTCTGGGTCGTGCTTTTTGTCTGGGGGGGAGGGGGGGGGAAGTCTCAATTACATGGGTTTAGTCTTTTGTTTTATAGACTGAGTCGACAGTAATAATAATTCCCCCTTCCCACTGCTCTTTTCTCCTGAAAACAGAACCTGAAAGGCTCCCAGAGCGGTGTTGACTCTTCCCGGACACACTGAGCAGACCCACCATTCCATTCCATTGCCTTCCTGCCCCTTAGGTAGGGCTCTTCACCACCCGCGACCAACAACCCCACGGACTTCTCCCGGAAGAGGGTGGGGTCTGCTGGTCAAAGACGACTCATGCCCCCAGTAGCATCGGGTCGGCCGAGACCCCAGAATGCCTCTCCCGTGTGCGTGCGCGAAGTCCATGTTTCAGCCACCCTGCCCCGTGCTCTGCCTGCCGTCTGGGGCTCTGTGGCCTCACTGACCCTGAGGCTTGGTGAGGACCTTGAGCGGTAGAGGAGGTGAGAGAAGGCTCTGAGGAGGGGATATCGGGTGCCTCTGGGCTGTTTTGTTTCGTTTCTGTGATCTTGGTCTGGAATGTTCTCAGCTGGGGAGATGACACCAGCCCCAGAATCCTAAAATCCAAGGGGCCTGGATCCCGGTTGTTAAAGATTTGGGGATGTTGAAAACTTGCACACGGCCCGTTTGTGCATCTTGGATGTTGACTTTTGAAGGAAGGACTCGGGCGCGTGCTGGGAGGGGGCCGCTGGGAAAGCCAGTCTGGAGACGCAGAGAGACACCCCTGAGCTGGACCTGCTCGTCAGCTAAGCAGCAACCCTCCACATGTCCCCACACCTTCCCAGGTCTGTGCTCTGCCTCTGAAGATGTGGAAGGACAATGTGGCTGTGTCACAAGAGGAGATGACACTGGGGCCTTACCGCCCAGGGAGCTCCTCTGTCCCTCTGCTCTCCGGCCTGGACCCAAGGCACCTGAGAGATGTCTCCTTGGGGGCTTCTTGCTTTTGCACTTTTTTATGGCAGAGTATGTGACCTGGCAGTCACATCTTCTCTTCAGGAACGTAGATGTTTGGGTTTTGTGCTCTTGGGGGCTGGAACTCGGAAAGAATGTGGGGAGTCAGGCATGCCCATGAGATGGGGAGCTCAGAGGGACCCCAGTAAACCCACTGGGGAGCAAGTGCTCAAACCATTGCAAGAATGACCCCAGGAGCCAGCGTGGAGAAGCACAAGCATCCGGCCTCCTTCCTTCAAGACGTTCATCACCTCCCACGTTTCCCAGGTGGGGACAGTGGCCCAAGTCAGGCCTCACTTATGGCCACTTCCTCCAAGAGGCTGTCCGTGGTCTCCCGGCAGAATTCGGCTCAATTCTGCATGTTTTCATCAAGCATCTGGTGTACGCCAAGCATGGCGCTGGGTTCCTTGGGGAATGTCCTCTCTTGCCTTCGTGGAGCCTGTGGCAACTTTGTTTTTTGGGGGTGGGGGGTGGGGCATGTTCTAAGCGGGGCTTTTGGAACATGTGGTTCTAAACACCTGGTTTCTCCTTGTTGCCTCCAACTTCTGGGGGAGGAAGCGGGTATCCTGAGGCCCAGAAGAAGTGATTCGGAGATTCAGCGGTAGTTTGTCCAAATGACCCTTGTAAAGATCTCTAAAAGCTGGTGCCAAAGGTCACTTTCCTTTTCTGCCCTCTGCTTTTGAGCCTGATATCCTCACCCCTCTTAGCTTATGAAATAGCTGAGAGCAGGCGTGGGTGGGGGGGTGCTTAGACAGCTGGAGCAGGAAGCAGAGAGACGAGCTTTTCCTGTTTTTGTTTTTATTTTGTTTGAGAGGAGCTTTTAGAGAATATACGTTTCTGTGGTTGGGATTACATGGGCAGTGGGACGCACTTCAGATACCATACAGTCAAGTTTGAGGTTTTCACACCAAACCATTCAGTCCCTGCTCCCTTTACTTGGCAATCTGCTTGAGAGGATAGCTGCACGTACATTCCGGGGAGACTGAAGCCGTGGGTTATTTTACCTCCTTCCCCGCCATCTTGAGCCTAGTGGACAGTGTGTTTGTAGGTTGGTCATAGTTTTTGACAGAGGGGGCTGTAGCTCCGCTCTGGAGAAGGGCTTTCTTGTGTCCCCACTTTCTGGCCTCCTTTCTTTCTCGTTGTCAGAACCGCCTCTTGATTTTTTTACTCTTCCAGCCAAGCTGAGTGGGGCCATGTGACGGTATGTGCCCCTTGCCTCGGACAGCCTGAAGTCCTTAACAGACATAAACCACGGAACATTAGTTTGGAAGGGCTGCATGGGGCAGGGGGCCTTGGCGAGAGCAGGCCGCCGCTGAGATGAGAGCCAGCCCTCTGACCTCAGGAGGCACTGGATGGAGGGTGTGTTGGAGCTGCAGTCCTGGAGTTGTTGCTACTCCAGTGACTCTCGCCCCCCCACCCCCTGAAGCATACCTGGGACCAATTTTTTTAACTTCGAATAATTTTTTTCAGGGGAGGTAGGCTTACCCCCCGCCCTCCTTTTTCTGTCCTGAGACCATGGACGAAACTCTTCACTTGGGGGAAGAAGAAAAGCTGTTTGAACCACACCAATGATGATTTCGTTTGTAATACTTGAAAATTATTTTTTTATTATTTTGATAGCAGATGTGCTATTTATTTATTTAATATGTATAAGGGAGCCTGAAAACAGAAAGCTGTATAGATTGGGTTTATTGTTCGTTGGTTGGTTTGGGGCCTTTATGTGTGACTTATGACTTCTCTGCGTTCTGTATATTTGTCTGAATCAGTTTACCTGGGATAAAGCTGTGCCAGCTTTCAAACAGGGGATGCCTTTCAGAAATTTGTATATTTTGCAGTTGCCAAAACAATAAAACACCTGATTGAAATACACTGATGAAGTGCATCTCTGGTCCTTTCGGTTGGGGGGTTGGGGGGTGGGTAAGAAGAGTTTTTAATGGACACTGGTTGTCACTGTGCCAGGTTTCTACACCGCAGCCCTTGACCTCCTCTGCATCACCTTCCCTTAGACACGACACACAGACACCGATCGCCTAGTGCCTGCATTTGGGAAACAAGCTGTGTCAACTTTTTTTTAAAAAACTCTTAAATTAAAAAAAAAAATGAATAGATTTTACTTTTTGGAGCAGTTTTAAGTTTACACAAAAAAGCAGATAGTACCCGAGTTCCTGTATCCCCTCCTGTTAGTGTGGTGCGTTTGTCACGGCTGATGAGCCAGTACTGATATGTGATTGTTACTTAGCATCCGTCGTTGACACTGGGAGTTACTCTGGTGTACGGTTCTGTTTGACAAATGCATACCGATACGTATCCGCCATTCCAGCATACTGTATGCCAGATCAATTTTTATTCCCTTCATTCCACACCCGTTCTCCCCATCCCTTTCGGACAGCAGCAGTTCTTACACAAGCAGCACAGTGCTGTTCACAGAGGGGCTAGGCTGGGCCTGCTTTCCTCAGCTCCCCACCAGCAGGCCAGGGCAGCCGGTGGGCCCCTCCAGCCAGATTGAACGTCATCTCACTTTGCCCTGGGCTCATGTCCACTTGTCTTACCAGCATAGTTGAGAATGTTTTAACTTGGGATTATTTCATAAACAGTACCACCTGGAGAATTGGTCGACCATTTGGGAAGAACAAGTGAATGAGATCGTAGCATACATCATCCGTCTTGACCTATGTGGGTTTTTTTTTTTGTTTTTTGTTTTTTTTTTAAAGATTTTTATTGGGTAATTGGGGAGATGGGAACAGTGATGGGGAGTTGGGGGAAGGGGAACAGACAAGTTGCTGTCGTTTTGTTCTTCAGTCTAGTTGTGGA